AAAGGGGGGCGTGGCTCCTCCCATATAAATCGAATTTTTATACTGCATATCTCTGAAAGTATTCATGGTACAGTACTGGAACTTCGTATGGAGATATGTATATAGTTGAAATCAAGCCCATACTCATGGAGAAAATTTGGGCTATTTGAAAAGGGGTGTGAGGCCTACAAACGTACCGACCTTTAGCTATCTTTGAATGAATTTTTTTATTCTTCTGTAGGTGTGTTTGTGAGTGAAATCCTCCTAAATGGTTGTACGGATTTTAACGAAACTTTTTGTGTATTTGAGTGGGTCTCTGGATGGTTTAGTTTCACAATTTAATCCGACAGTTGGCGCTGTAGTTGAGTTATTACTAAAAATCTTATTTATGATCCGATTTGGCTAATGTTTTAAATATGTATGCAATACTATTGCAAAAACGTGCTGCCAAGTGGTGCTGAAGTCGAGCTATTACTAAAAATAGCCAAGTGAGAAAAGGGGCCGTGAAGGTCAGTTTAAATCGACCTGTTGCACCATTGAGTATATCGAACGCTCCTGCGTTGCAATTGGCCCAATGGATGTGATTTTCCAATATTATTATGCGTTCAAACTTTTAAGGTATTTCGTCTGAAATAAGTATATGTATATTGCATTTCTGTAGAACAATGATTCGCACTCATTTTGAAATTGCCACCTACTATGCTGTAAAGCTTCTAGGACATTCACTATAGAACTGGATCATTGTTGCCGACAGGGAGTGAAGAGGAAAAAATTCATTTCGCTTTGAGAATAACCGTGCTATGAAATTCCGCACAACTGGAGAATTTCAAGAACTTCTTCACGGATATAACACTTTCCTTAGGTTATTTAAAGCGGCAAATGACCACCAAACCTTAATCTTAGCAGACAAATGTGCCAATGAAAATCGTAAACGTGAATTGTTGGTGAAAATGTTGGACCAAAAAGTTTCAATAAAATATATAAAAATTTTGGGCGGGACGAAGTTCGCCGGGTCTGCTAGTATTTAATAAAAAACAGCGCTAGATAGCCTGTTTTAAGGCCCTTCTACTGATATCCACATCAATGGTATTGAATGAGTATTGCGGCCTCAGCGATAGTTTCAAAAATTTTCTTTTTTCGAATTTCAAGCACCAGCCACGTCCACAAAGGCATACGAATCGAAATATCCTGGAATAAATCTCTTAGCTTTTTTTTGTACTTTAATTCCCGAAAGTTTGAAAAAAGTTAAATGAAGGTACGTACAGACGCTACACACATCGCAAAGCATCTCGCAGTGGAGACACGAACTAAAAGCATTTTAGCTCTATATCTTTTCAACTAGTAGCCGGAACTCAATATATGAGATATCGTTGGAAAGGTATTGACCCATAGACACTAAATATGTCGGGTGTACCCACTTACCTCTTTAAACCGGCAAAAGCAAAAAAACGTTTTTTGTTTCGCAACACTTTAGCCTAATTCTTAAGAATCCTGTTAATCGTTTTCTGAACACACTCTGCAATACCCTTCCAACGATACCTCAAACATGTCGATTGAATGTCTGGATAAAAACTTCCAAATCTCGTATATATATATATAAGCGAGTGATTTTAGCATGCTACTGTGGCTGCTTTCGTCGCTCGCGCACACTCCCGTGCGCTGTGATTTAGGCTGTGTGCGTGTACGTCTAAATTGCTACCTAATAAAATTATAGTTTAAAAACTAAAACCTCGCTATTATAATTTTCATTCGTACTGTCAGCAGGGATGTAACTTGAGAATAGAAATCTCTGCATCTTTTAGGCGCATCAATATTACATAGTTACATCCCGAGCTAATAAAAGAGAGGTAAAAAGATAAAAATCCTAAATCACTGGAAAGTGTGGGCAATGCAGTGAATAGGAACAATTTAGAGTTTTTTCGAGCATACTTTTCAACATAAATTGAACTGTGAAATATAAATGGGCGCGCGATTACGCGAACAATTATTTTTTTAGAAGTTTTAAATAATTTTCATATTTTCTATGGCACAAAACAGAAAATATTCAGAAAAATGTAGTATAAATATGATAATGCTAGAAAAAAATAAAAATTGGGTGTGGCTCGCCCTTTATTCTTGATTTTGGTGGTATGAATTTCGGTTTGCTGCTTATTAAGAAGGCCATTGCAAGGGGGTGGTAAAAGTCAATATGTTCAAAAGCTTATTTTTCGAAAATTATTTAACCGATTTTCAAAACGTGGATGTGGTTGGAAAGGTTATTGAAATTCCTTTCATTGAATAGGTATACCTATATAAATAATAATTACATACATATTTCTATAAAAACGAGATTATGTCCTTTTTTAAATCAAAATGTATATTTTTCCCAAAAAAAAAATGTAATAAATTATAAGATATCAGAACAAAACAATATAAAAAAATAGTGAAAATTTGGAAAAAATCTATCTTTTAATATAGTTAATTACGTATGTTTTATCCGACTTCAAAAAAAATGGAGAAGCTTATCAATTCGTCGGAATATTTTTTTATGTATGTTACCGCATAACTTTGGGCCACGTTAACAGATTTCGATGATTCCTTTTCCGTTTGAAAATCTGTGTCTCACATGTGGTCCCATACTAATTTGGTTTACATCCGATCATTTGATCATGAAAAAATTAACGGTACTCCTAGATTTTTATATGAGAAACATACATTTTTATTAAGAAATTGCTATAACTTCGTTTTTTTAGTTTTCTCGAAATAAATATGTGTACACTATATAAGTATAATTTCAAGTGGAATATTAGTTTAGGTACTAAAATGTAGGTCAATTCGCACACAGCAATACATATTTCGTTTCTATTATTTTAATGTATTAATGTTTGCAATCATTTACGAACGATACACGATCGACAGAGAAATACATACAAATCTCGTGCTTTTTGATTGGATTACTGAGAAAGATTTTAAGTATGCAGTTTTGTAGCCCATTCAATTTTAATACAATAAAGTGCAAGTTTGATGTAGCTAGGACTTACCGTTTATATTTGTAATTTTTTTTGTTGAAGTTGTTGTCATTTTCTGCATATAAAAAAATCGTGTTAGCATACATACTTCGTATGGAAGAAATGACTGACACCGTCAATAAAAAAAATTCCAAAATATCAACTGTATGTCCTTGCTACTTCATAAATGCACTTCATTGTGTTAACAAGGGCTACAAAGCTGCATATTCAACGACATCTGATGAAAAAGCTAGAAATTTGTATGAAAGTTTGTAGAATATTTTTTTTTAATCTTGGCTTTATACGTGGTTTGTTAAATAATAAATTATATTTTTATAAAAAAAAAACAAATTAAATTATTAAAAATTAATAGTCAAAACTTTTCAATATATGGTTGACGTATAATTGTGTTTTTGAAAAGCATTCTTTTGTTAATTTTATATTTTCTTTCCTTAAATATTTGTTCTGGATTATTATACCCGTTTAACAAATAAACTATGCAGATTACTTTAACATTGACTAGTTTTCATAACTTTATTCATTACCTTATTGCAGCAAACTGAAATAAATACACACATATGTACATACTTATTTACGTGCATATATTTGTATATTTTTAGNTCCTTAAATATTTGTTCTGGATTATTATACCCGTTTAACAAATAAACTATGCAGATTACTTTAACATTGACTAGTTTTCATAACTTTATTCATTACCTTATTGCAGCAAACTGAAATAAATACACACATATGTACATACTTATTTACGTGCATATATTTGTATATTTTTAGCCAAATAACGTAGTAGCAAGCATCAACAATATCTTTGATATAAATACATATCGTCGTTTAAAGTACAAAACCGCGTAACTGACATTGGCTGGCAAAAATTGGATTTGCTCACACAAGCTCTTGGCTCAATCCTTATAAATTCTTCCTGAAATATACTAGTCAGAAATGCGATTGCTTTATAAATAAAATTATAGTTTAAAAAACTAAAACCTCCCTATTATAATTGCCATTCGTACTGTCATCAAGTATGTCACTTGAGAATAGAAATCGCTGCATCTTTTAGGCGCATCAATATTACATAGTTACATCCCGAGCTAATAAAAGGAAGGTAAAAAGAGAACCATTTTGAAATGTAAGTGTTTTTACACTCTAGAAAATGATGTCTACAACTTCACATACGCGGTTTTGCATTTTTTTGATACGCGGTTTTGCACTTTAAACGAACCCAAATACCAAAACACCAAAAAACCAACAGCTCTATGAAAATACTCAAGCACTTGCAAGCAAATACTACTTTTGTTGCTATTGATTTGTTTTTTACTCTCGCATACTCCAAGCGCTTTGTGTTTGCCCGCATTCTACAAGAGAATGGAGAGATAAAGAGAGTAAGTAATTGCGGTGCTAACAAATGTCTTGTTGGGCGACTCAAATGTATCCGTGCAGTGTTTTAATTGAGGTGAATGAACTAAGCATACCTGGCCTTGAATATTGTAAGCCTATAATAAAATATAAAATAACATATGATTGAAAAATGCAGTTATTGCCAATCGGTGACCCAACAGTAGGTTATGACAGCTGAGATGTTCCCAGTGTTGTTAAAATGCCTTAAGGGAAATTTTAACCGAGTTGAGCGTTCTTTTCACGCTCGCTTACAAAAAAATGCCACTAATGTTTCGGCATCGAGAATGAGCTGCATTAAATTTTGCTTCAGCACTTCCTTTGCTAGGTGTCCTATAAGGTTTTATCAGGCAAGGTTCCAGAGGGTATCCCCTGAATCTCATTTTTTGGTCACAAATCCACAAGTGTTTAAGATTATAGAGCGCTTTACATAATATATAAGAATTTGCAGAAGCGCTTACAACAAGAGCATTTAAACGAAAATTTTTTAAATACTTTATTTTTCGCTAATTTTTTATAAAAAACAAAAACCCCAAAAATCAGAGATCCAAACCTGGTTCAAAATTAAATAAAATTTTGCAAAATTTCATTCAGATATTGCACTTTTTATTTACGCTCTCTAGAAAAAAGTTGAGTATGCAGTTTTTTAGTTCATTCAATTTTAGTATAATAAAGTGCAAATATGAGGAAGTTAAGACTTACCACTGATTTTTATGTTGAAGGCGTCGCACATTTTTTCCATATAAAAAAATGCGTGTGTAACACCGTACACATGATAGAAGTGAAACTTCTTAAAAAAAGGTGTTAGTACCAGGCACCTACTCACGAAATTGGATGTGTAAACATATGTTTACCGTTCGGCAAACCATTAGGCGATTGAGTTACATACATAGGTTTGGTTAGAAATCAAACAATAATTTCATTTCTTCTTATTAANTGTAAACATATGTTTACGGTTCGGCAAACCATTAGGCGATTGAGTTACATACATAGGTTTGGTTAGAAATCAAACAATAATTTCATTTCTTCTTATTAATTTCCTGATATACATATAATTTATTTATTCATTTTCCGGTAACACCGCCTTATATGAATTCGCGCTTCTAGCATCCGTAGGACTGGTTTGTAATGGAAGTAATTGTATGTTTAACAAATAAATGAAAATGTTTATAATGCAATCAATAGATCCTTACGAATTCGCCATTACCAAGGCACTAAGTAACGTACGCACTTTTGTTTGCAAAATGCATTTATTTAAGTTGAAAGAAGACAAATTCCTTTGTTCGGCATTTATTCTTACTCGCTTTCTATCTTCCAAGGCGAATTCATATATTCTTATCACGAATTCATATATTCATGTGGTAGCAAGAGTATAAAAACATAAAATTACCTTATAAATTAAAAGCATAAGTATCACATGTATGCGTAGTCCAATTCACGAAATCATTTCATCGATCTGAGTAAAAACTAAGTGCATAAACTCTATTTCGCGTTAATTGAAATCATGAAATGGTGTTCATTCATTCAGTTTCTACTCAAACGCATGAAATGATTTCATGAATTGGCCTACGCATAATGGTAGTAAATGACAGAATGAATTACAACAAACACATCCTTTTGACATAATGCAAGCCGAAAACGTTGGTTCAAATCAATCCGCAATCAAGTTGGACGTTTTGCCCACAAACATTGCAATTTTGCGAACAGTCTCATTGTAAAATCTCATTTTTACAATTTCATAGTTTCGGCTTACATTTATAAAATTCAACGAAAGCACGTACCTATTTCGACTGAGTTATCCATTTTCGGTTATTTAGTGTACAAAATAAACGCAAATTAAATGAGTTTGTACAACATGGCCATTAATGGAGCGATAAGTTGTACAACTTGCCAGAAAATTTTTTGATCTTTCATACAACCAAGACATAAATTCATTCAACAGGCCCACAAACGGTGCAATCTAGAGCAAAATAACACAAAGTTGAACCAACGGTCGCTAGGGCGACTTTACCTTTTTTAACAAATTATAACACAAATTTTCTCCAGCTTTTGCTGAAAGGTAAATAAAAGCTCTGTATACATTTTTAGCGCAGAATGTCAAAAATGCCAAATTTTGAGTTCTGACTCTTTTGAAGACGGTGTGCGATATGTTCATCAGAGTATACCAACGAAGGACGAGTTAATATAAGGAGATAACAAGAGCACAAAACTACTCTATAAAATTACACGCACAATGACAAACATTAACAAATGTACAACAAACACATAATTTTAAACAATCAGTACAGTTCGCATTTATATCAACGAGCAGCTTATTAGATTTGTTTTCGTTTATACTACATATGTGCATATATACATGTACACAAACATATGTACATACACAAACATATGTACATACATACAAATATATATGCAACCATTCAAACATATATACATACATGAAAACATTGCTGTCCATAAGTACATACATATGCCCATCAGTACATCAACGAAGCCAGTTTGCTTCATCATAAATAATATATCCATACAAACATATGTATGTGCATATGTACGAATGGATGTAGTTAAGCGAAGCACGCTTGCATCATTTATACATATGTATATTGCTTCGTAGCGGCACAGCTGAAGTACGCAATGAGTTCGTTCATACATACATATATATGTATACATACATACGTACATTCAAACATACATATATACATATTTAGTTACTCGTACTTCTTTTTTCCCCTTCCCTATACTACCTATATCTTCCATCTCACTCATGTAACGTTTTCAGTTTTAAATATACCGCCGCCTAAGAAGTTTCACTTCAAAAATTAACGAACATTATTTTATATGGAGAAAATGAGCGACACCTTCAGCAAAAAAAAAAATATAAAAATCAACTTAAATTGAATGAGCTAAAAAACTGCGTACTCAACTTTTTTCTAAAGAGTGTAAATAAAGAGTGCAATATTTAAATGCAATTTCGCGGAATTTTCTTTAATTTTTCACAAGGTTTGGAACTCGGTTATTTTGGGTTTTTGTTGTAGAATTAACCATATTTTTATAAAAAATTAGCGAAAAATAAAATATTTAAAAAATAGTAGCCGGTATTGTAAAAAATTCGCTGTACCTAAACTTTATTCACTGACTGTATCTTCATTGTCCATCCATTTTTTCCACATATGACATAAATTTGTCTCAAAGACGTCATCTCTCGTAGAATGGTACTAAAAGCAGAATTCGTCAATTCCACATCGGTTCCCTACCAAAACCCTTTTGGTACCCACCCTCAGCAAAGAAGCGCAACGAAGCTGCCAACTTTACCAATGGAGGTATTGCAAAAGATTTCATAGGGTTTGAAGCTTTATCTATTGTCAAGTCTAGCAAATATTTAAATGCTGTTTTGTTCGTTCTGTAGTAATTATGAAATCTACAAGATATAAAATTCAGTAAAAGGTCAATTACTTATCGTCACCTAGGATGCAATATAGCGCTAAGAGAACTTTAGATTTTCTGTCTCCGGACGGATAACAGTAAATAGTCTGCATGCTTTTGCACCGCAAATGACGTTATAGCAAATATATGATTACATTTACAATTGGTCTTGGAATTCAAGAGGATTTAAAGCATATCTGACGTATCTTCTAACAACTCCTTGATCTCGTATATTTTCATCTTGTATTACCAGCCTTCGTAAATCTATGTAAATCATTTTGAATATTCATAAAAGGAAATTGTTAACACTAACGAATAAATAAACACTCGTATAAGATAAGACCGCAAATAATTGCTAAATATTCACAAATGTAAGAAATATTCGTATGTACGTTCAAAACTGTTTATTGAAATATATTTCATAACTTTGACAACTGTTATCCTAACTTCATGTGAATACCATTCACCCGAAATCGTTCCGCATTCAAGATAAAGTGAACTATTTCGGGTGATCAAAATTTTCACCGGTGAAAATTTTCACCAGAATATTCATGATAAGGCTGTATATGTTTATTTTCAATCAAAATAAAATCGTAAACTAATACTGTTTAACTGTACCACACTGAGAAAAAGGATTAGTTTCGACAACTAAAGATATTTAGTTTCCGAATTTTGACAATATTTTGGAACTGTTACCAAGGATTGAAAACTATTACTATGGGTTGGTAATTATAACTAAATATATTAAAGCTTCTAATATCACTGGACCACAAATTTCAACTTTTTCTCTTTACCAGAAACGCCGTTATGAAATTCTTATGTAAAACCACCCCCTGATTCCGAAAATCAAGGTTATTTTTAATTCTATGGTACCGTTTTTGAGATATTTGCAATTTACCGTTTTTGCAAAAAAAAAAAAAAATTGGGTCCACTTTATCATATATATCTCAAGAACGAATTAAGCAATTCCAAAACGGTTTGAAGCTTTTAAAAGGTAATAACACACTGCATACAACACTTTTTGCTAGGCCCTGTAGATTCAAAGATAACGAACAATCATTACCGATTTTTTCAATTTTTTTTGTAAAAATATAAAAAAAATTGTACTTTGCGGGGAAGGATCTCGAAAACCTTTTATTTTTTTGCAGATTTTTTTTTTCTCCCTAAGCTCTGTTGTATTACAAAAAAAATAAGCTATCATCGAAGAAAATCGATGCAAAACTACGTAAGTTATAAGCGATCAAATAAAAATACCCAGGTTGCGCAACTTCAATGTATGTACCTATACATACATACATATATTAAAGGTATAAAGTGCAAGTGAGATATTATCCGGATAAACGAATAACACCATAACAATGATAACACTTTTTCTTTAAATAAATCAAATAGTACTTTTAATACTCGAATTGTATTATAGTAGGTAGAGTGGTTGCATCGAAAGGAAGAGTGGTTGGGTTCGAAACCTGCTGTAGGCATGTAGTTATAAACATGTATTTCCGTCAGTTATGGGTAAGTATGCAGGTAGATTTTCAAAATTATAAGACACAGAAAATTTCTAAAGCCTACATCTAAAACAGGTAGTATTTTCTTTTCCCGGCTTGTTATAAAAAGGAACCTTTCTGTCTAGGTAAGATTTGATTTTTTCAATTTTATTCTTGTTCCGAGTATAAATATGAGTTAATGCGCTTTGAAACTTCATAACATCTTCAAGGCTCGCCGGAGATAGTTCAGTTCATAAGTCTAATTTCAAAACCGTGATTTATTAAAAAAAATAAAATGAGTAAAAGGACGCGAGAATTTGAGTGTAATAAGGATCCAGATATGTTCTGTTTCATGTGTGGCCAATATACTATCATAAGGCGACGACGAGTGTTCTCAGATCATATCAAAACTTTATACTCCAAGTATTTTGGAATTGAGCCTAAAAATGCTGAAAAACCATGGACACCGAACACTTTGTGTACATCGTGTCGAGTAGAATTGATTCAGTGGGAATCAGGACAACAAACAAAATTTGATACACCAATGATATGGAGAGAACCTACTTGCCATTCAATAGAGTGTTATATTTGTCAAACAAAAGTACTTGGCGTTGGAAGATCAAGAGGAGTAACCTATGCTAGCGTACCTACAGTGACATTACCAGTACTACATTCAACGGCAGTTGCGGATCCAGTTCCATTGTCAACAGTAACATCTGAGTGCGGGGGATCAAGTTGTACTGAATTTCGCATGGAAAACGAAAGAAACGTTCTGTCACAAGCACAACTTAATGATTGGATAAGAGATTTGGAACTATCCAAGGAAAAGGCCGAGATCCACACTTCTCGTATGCAACAATTTAAATTTGTGTCATCCGATGTTAAGGTGACATATAGTAGAACTCGTCACGAACCATTTTCCAAACACTATACCAAGAAAGACAGTATATGCTACTGCAACGACATCCCTGGTTTATTCAAAGAGTTTGGTCAAACATATGATTCAAAAGAGTGGCGATTGTTCATAGACGGCAATAAACTGAGTTTGAAGGCTGTATTATTGCATATTGGTAACAAAAAGCCTTCTATCCCGATTGCACATGCAGTAAATACAAAGGAAACCTACGAGGAAATGCAAAAAATACTCAAATTTATCAAATATGAAGAGCATGATTGGAAAATATGTTCTGATCTCAAAGTCGTTGCAATGCTATGCGGTCTACAAAGTGGCTACACCAAGCACTGCTGCTTCCTCTGCAAGTGGGATAGCCGAGCTCGTAAGGACCACTACGTCAGAAAGGATTGGCCGGAAAGAGTCGAGTTTACCGTTGGTGTGGATAACATCAAATACACCCCTCTTGTCAAGAAAGAGAAAATCATACTTCCACCCTTACACATCAAGCTCGGTCTCATTAAAAACTTTGTTAAGGCTTTGGACAAAGAAGGCGAAGCATTCGACTATTTGAAAACAGTTTTTCCAGATATTTCTCAAGCCAAGATAAAGGAAGGTATTTTTGTTGGACCACAAATAAGAAAGTTGATCAACAATAATCAATTCAAAGGACTACTCTCATCAGTTGAGGCAGCAGCGTGGGAATCCTTTGAAAAGGTCGTTGCTTCTTTTCTCGGTAGACACAAAAGCCCTAACTACGAGCAGATAGTGAACGACCTAATCAATAATTATGCGAAAATGGGCGTAAATATGTCTTTAAAAATTCACTTTCTCCACTCACATTTGAGCTTTTTTCCGGCAAATCTTGGCGACGAAAGTGATGAACATGGCGAAAGGTTTCATCAGCAAATGAAATTAATTGAGAATCGATATCAAGGATTCTGGGACGTCGCAATGATGGGTGATTACTGCTGGTTTCTCATAAGAGAAACCGATCCTAAACTGAATAAGCGTCAAAGTAGAACACATAATTATTTCGACAACATAGTAAAATCAAATTAAGATAAAGATTGTTAGAATATAGTATAAACATAAATAAATTTAAAAAAAAAGTTAAAAATATGGGTAATTTCATTCATAAATTGAACTTTTAACTCAATAGAAACAGAGCATAGCTAGATATTTCACTCTTCTTTATACCATACATACGTTTTGAGGTATACGTTGAAATTGCGCAACCTGGGTATTTTTATTTGATCGCTTATAACTTACGTAGTTTTGCATCGATTTTCTTCGATGATACCTTATTTTTTTTGTAATACAACAGAGCTTAGGGAGAAAAAAAAAATCTGCAAAAAAATAAAAGGTTTTCGAGATCCTTCCCCGCAAAGTACAATTTTTTTTATATTTTTACAAAAAAAATTGAAAAAATCGGTAATGATTCTTCGTTATCTTTGAATCTGCAGGGCCTAGCATAAAGTGTTGTATAAACCGTTTTGGAATTGCTTAATTCGTTCTTGAGATATATATGATTAAGTGGACCCAATTTTTTTTTTTTGCAAAAACGGTAAATTGCAAATATCTCAAAAACGGTACCATAAAATTAAAAATAACCTTGATTTTCGGAATCAAGGGGTGATTTTACATACGAATTTCATAACGGCGTCTCTGGTAAATTTTGGCCGTCGACCAGTGTATTCATTTAGGTTGTACCAAATCGTTAATTTAGTTGAATGGTTTGGTAAATACTAATAAATATTCTACAAATTCCATTCAACTTAACGTATGGTTCATGAAAGGATGTTATTAAGCTCTGTTAATGCAGATAAGCTTTCTTTTAACACATGATTTAGTCATAGTTACCAAATCTTAGTTGAGGCAACCACGATTTGGTTTGAAAGCGAAACATATTCAATCGTGTGTTTCACATACGAAGAGCGCCAGCTGAGCAAAGCACACAGATCCACTCACGGTTGCCGTTTGGTCCAAATGGACCAAATTTGGCCGCAGAAGCTGAGCGCAAATTTTTTGATTTAGCATTAATAAAAACAAAATTAAGAAACAAATTATAATTCAAAACTTTAAATAAAATAATGTTAATAATATACAATTGATGCAATATAAAAAAAATCGTTATAAAAACTGAATTGGCATATTTTCTTGATAAAGTGGTTATTCCTCTCCCCTCCACTCAATTCCCGATGTAATAAAAATTGGTCAATTTTTTGGTCCCAAAAATTAAATGGAAATGGCAACCGTGGTCCCACTTATTGAATCTTGTGAATGTGGTAGTATGCCGACCACTGGATAAAAACGACCCAGTAGAAATGTGATGCATACGACATCGCTGTTGGTGGCATGAGATTGATGCTGTGTATACATGCCAGTATAAATGAACCTTCATTTCCATTTAACACGCGTGGTTTCTCAGAGCTTATGCGTACTCTAACCATACACTTGTACTACTGCTGTATGCATATGGCTGTATTAATATTTCAAACTCATTAATGGAACAGTATTAAAGCATTCTTACAAGATATGTATCCCCATATGTAAATGCTACCTTTTTGACACATTTTAATATACGGGACATACAAAAAAGTAGCATTTACATATGCAAAAGCTTATCTTGTAAAAGCCAGTTAGTGCTGAAAATAGTATCGCACAACACGTCCGTTCACTAAAATTTTTTTACAAGACTGAAAATATTACAAAAATTCCACTTCAAATTTATCAAGAAATGTACTTAAAACAACTACAGCGTACGTTCGCTTGCAGTTCGCTAGAATTTGAATTTATTTGTGGAAATTCATGACTACGCATGAATTGTTCACACTACAGTGAAACCCGCTTAAGTACCCCCGCGCTTAAGTACCTAACCCGCTTAAGTAACCAACATTTTTGGGCACCGTAAATATTTTAATATAAGCAGAAGAAAATCCCTCTCTTAAGTACCTCCCCGCTTATTTACCCAACCCACCTAAGTACCTCAATTTTTCGTGCCCCATTTACAATTTTACTTATAATTTTCCCCTTTTAAGTGCTCTTTTAAAATTCCTTCAAATATCTACGTATTTTCAAATTCGGTAAAAGAAATTCTAAGAAATCAAGGGTAACTTTTAACCACTTGAAACTTGCACATTATTGCACTAAAATTTAATGGAATATAAAACTGTATAGTCAAAAAGCATTTCTGAGAAAAAAGTTTGATGAAGTTTTTTTTAAGTGTTCTACAAAATCTTAAGCTTAGGTTTATATGGTATTTGTTAGGGAACTGCATTTTAATTGATTGAAAAACCTTAAAAATTTATAAATAAACATAAGTGGCAAACAATATTTTATTGAATTTAGTACAAAATGACATGTCCAACCTTGACTTTTTAAACAATTTAATTCTTGTAAAAATGACAGACCATTGCACTAAATATTTTTTTAAGAAAGTTATTCTTTACTTATTTATGTATTTAAATAATGCTTCGATTTTGGTTTTAAACTATGTATACTTCATTAAATGTTGTTATTCAAGTATTTATGTAATTTACCAAGAAGATGTAACTACATCAGTAATTATGTTCGCTTAAGTACCCGCATTGAGGTACTTAAGCGGGTTCTTTTAAGTACCCAACCCGCCTAAGTACCTCAAAAAGCTGACATTTTCCGTGAGGTACTTAAGCGGGTTTTACTGTAATTCACTCATATAGCAAGCATTCTTCATGAATGCATACAACCGATTTCTACTGGCGATTCAATAAATGAGACTAGGGGTACTCTCTGAGTCTTGCAAAGCCCTTGCACGGTGCACGGATTGCACGGTTTGCAAAGCTGTCCCATACGAAAACCGTTTTTTACCGTGCAATCTGTGCACCATGCAAGGGCTTTGCAAGACTCAGAGAATACCCCTACTGTGTGCGTGGAAATCATTGCTACGCTACCGCTGTTCGTATATGGTTGAAACACACGATTGAGAGAGTAATCAATCATTCTTGGGTAAAACACGCATGTGGTCACAGAGCGCTCAGTAAGCTATGGCATGCAGTGTTGCCGCGAACCATTTTTAGTGGTAGCCAAATTCCTTTAAAAAAAGGGCTAAAAAAGTCGTTGTGGCTAAAAATGGTAGGTAAAGTGGTTTGCTCACATAATAATACATAAGCATACATGCAAACATTTTCAATAAGTAATGGTATAGAAAAACAATGAACTCTGGAAAAAAGCGAATATTTTATCCAACCAAAAACCTTTTCGTATAATAGGGGAAATATACGACACCAGCTTGCTGGCTCGATCAAGTGATTGTACCATCATGCTCGAAGCATATAACTTACCAGCATGCTGGTACAATATTTATTTCTTTACAAATGAGATCGAAGAAAGATCGAAATGATTTGAGCCGAAATTTCATAATTTTTCTACCATTTTGTTAAACATTGTTTTTTTGTTTTAGTTCACAACTGCAATATCGTGAACTTAATATTCCACAAACACGGCTTTGACTCATATAGTGCAAGACATTTCCGCCAAAATATTTTTTACTTAGAAAATTGAACTAATTTCACCACTCACGACACCAAATTTCTGGTACAATCATACAATTTTCAAATAGTTTTTGAAGTCGCAGCAGCAGCTGGTACAATCACATCACAAGAACATACCCGGTCAATCGACTTGATGGGCCATTTAACAAATGAAGCATATTAAGGGCCAGTTTTTCAATGCACGGCCGTGGTTTTAACTAAGTTTCAACGCCCGATTTTGCCGGGTTAAGCTAAGATCAGCAAATCAAATGTAAGCCAGCTGTTCAATTTATACCCAGTTTAATTAATATGAGAAACTGGCACTGAAAAACTGGCCGTAAACTCATCTATTTTAAACTCTAGTTAAATCGTTAATAGATAAGTTAAAAAAACAGCCCTAGCACTTTTACAGTATGTATGTATAAAAACGTAATGAACATTCAATACATATATGTATAATATCAGTCTTTCTTAGTTTAAAAATTCATCTCTTGCATAAATGCAAAAAAAAAGTAGATCAAATTAAGCATATACAACTTTTTCATGCCCAGTATGAATAAATTCTCCAAAGGGCTAGGGGCAATTTTAAATTTATGTGGCCAAAAAAGTATGTGGTAGCTAAATCTAGCCACCAAAGGGCTCAAATGGCAACATTGATGGCATGTCGTTCACTGCGCTAGGTAGAGAAAGAAAAGTGTGTGCTAGATACAGGGTGTCCAGATTGTTTAAATAAAAAGCGCAATTTCTGAAAAATAAATCGCCAAAAATCGCCATTTTTTTAAATAAAATTCATGAAATCGATTTAACAAATCTTTTATTTTAAAAATGAGATCTTTTTATAATATAGTTTTTTAAACCAAAAACGAATATAATACCTTCAGAGGGTAATAATTAGACTGCGGGATTTTTATGCAAAATACGGAGCCTAGAAATATGTGCCACATAACAATAAACAAAGTGTATAAATTTCTACACATTTTGTTTACAGTTAAGTGGTACATATAATATAATAGTGATGTCCAAACAATTTTCTTTAAAAATACGCATACTTTTTAAAAATATTTGTTTGGACACATTTTGCAATAGGACTGCGCAATTATTAAGTTTTTTGTAACTCATATAAATCGATTAATCGCATAATCCGCTTTAAGAGCTCGGCGCTAAAAATTAAGTAAAAACCTATAATAACGCGGATCAGCTATTTCCACAATTTCTTCAAAATCACCTATAGTGTCTGAATGATTTACATTTCTGTTGTTGTCATATATTGAGCTATTCAAGCTTGATAACATACTGTTTGATATTGATATGTTTTGCAGCAGAAACTATTAGTCTTCATATAACACTTTATTCGAACTATTGATTGATTCGAACCTCATCCTATATCGAATCTTAGTTTTTGTTGAATTCATTACGGAAAAAACGCGCTCAACAAAGCATGTGAGTGCGGAAAAGATAATAATATGAATTTACTTACATATATTTCCAAACATTTTATTGCCTGTTGCGGTTTTCACTCCGTAAGCAATTATCAAAAATTCTTCGGAGGCGGATGGAATGGTTCTGAGAAAAGTTATTCCATGGGAAAGTTAAAAGATTTAAATATTCAGTTTCCGCTGCTTTTCTTTCCTTCAAAGTCAAATAGTGAATTGGCATGTCCCTGAAACTCGCCCTCTTGTGATTCACACACTTTGGTGACAAAATCAAAGCTTTTTTAAAAGTACTTAATTGACTAGGTAATCGTTTCTAAAGTTCTTCGATTAGGGTGATTAAATATTTTTACAGTTTTTTAATATGCTTCTTAAGTCAAATATATCACGCAGTTCATTAGCCTCTTCTGTAAAATTATCGTGGAAAACTATATTTTGTAAATTTTTATAATTGGAAAAAATTTATTTGAAGGGACAAAATCGCCAAGAATCGCCAATGTCGTAGATTAGCATATACAGTACAATCCGGTTATAACGAACTCAACGAGGCCGCTTCAAATTGTCCAGCATAACGGAGTGCCCATTTTATTAGAAAATATATTTTTAAATAATAGAGAAATAATCTACATGTATAAATACAAAATCATATACTTTTCATGCAAAGTAAATGCCCGTTTTTCCGTTCCGACATTTTTCTTAAAGTGAACAAAATACAGATCAAAACCCAACGAATCGTCACGAAGAATAGACGTTTTCTGTCGCAGAGACGGATGCCTCTCTTTGCTGAATTCGGCGAATTGCCGAACTTTGTTTATTGCAGATATTATTTTTTATACCCGAGCGCACTTGTGCACAAGGGTATTATAACTTTGTTCACATAACGGTTGTTTGTAACAGGCAAAACGAATCGAGATAGATATAGACAAATGTATACATAAATGATCAGAATGAAAAGAGAAATCGATTAAGCGGTGACTGTCTGTCCGTCCGTC